ACAGAGAAAAATGTTTTAAAATAGTTTTAAGTTCAACCTAATAACAACCATGGCACCTAATAATAAAGTCATAAATCGTCAAAATATTATCTGATACCTACGACCATTCGTCATATAAGACAAGAAAAGTATTTTCTTACTCCTGTCATGTAGAAATTAAAAGACATAAGTTATACAATATCTAGTTTGAATTCAACCTTAAGGTCGAACAAATAAAGATAATTTTTCCATTATTGTCTTGCGATCTATATCGTTTTGTTTTGTTTCGTTTTGCTTCTTCAAATTTCGAATTTCGCTACAGGAGGTATGTATGGAGTCGCGTTGGACACTAAAATAATTTTATAATATGAAAATTAACATTTCGGGATCTTAGTATACATCACTAATTTTTATTAGCGGTACGTTTTTGTGTATGATATGTTTATTTACTTTATCGTTAAAAGTCTAAGTCTAAGTCAAAATTATTTATTTCAGTTATACCAGGAAGGCACTTTTGAACAACAACAATATAAATTTAAAAGTGAAGCTATTTGCTCATTCCAAGGTGTAGATTCCTATGGAGAAGAACGAGCAAGAAACGATACAATTTCTTATTTTTTCAATACAAATCGACTCCATGCATCCACTGTTCTGTTTATACAAATGTTGGCGAGACTTGGCCAAGGAATCGCCAACACACGCACAAACATTGGTGGCGTTGGTTTATAATTGATAATTTTGTCTAATTTGATATTATTTACTAGTTTAAAAGCTTAAAATATAACTTATACTTTATGTACTTATCAAAAGTAAGACACTCCGGCCGTTATACTGCTCTTTCGGTTGTTATTTTTGCAACTTGCAATTACTCGTGAGACGTGAGTACGTTGGCCGTGTTTGGAGCATACTAAACAAAATAAGAGCTCACTTCTCAAGTGAGCTCTTATTTGTTGAGACGATTTTCTTGCGCCGACCCGATATCTAGTTGTTATTGTTGATCGAAGGTGAAATTGATAAAATATTTTGTCTCCTCATCCTGGTAATGGCACAAATTCTTCACAGTTTTGAACAAAACTTGCAAAGTGACATAACACTAAAAATAGTTTTAGGCCTTACCTAACGAAGAATGTAAATTTTATGACAATACTTTTAGCAGTACATTCCTCAATGGGTACATTTACCTACCACTACTGTATGAACACTTTTTCTTTGGGACACAATCAAGTACTTACTTGCAATTGACTAAGTAAGACACCGAAACCTTAGCTCGGGATTACTATTCTATATGTAACCCGAATTGAAATGGTTCGTGTTTGAAAAAAATATTTAAGAAGAGATTTCAGTCATCTTTGGAACCATGGACTTTTGTAGTATTAATAATAAGGTAAAAAGAGCAACTTAAAGACAAACACAATTAAGGGATAAAGTCAACAGCTACTACGTGCCCTAAAAGGTAAGTGTAGTAAGTAAGTTAGATAAATACACAATTTTCTTAATACTGGTTACGTCATGTCTTTAGTAGTCGAATCCCATAGTATCGTGTCCTTATATAAAACAAGCGAGAGCAATTATTTACAATAAAAGTATAATTAGTGCATATGTATTCCAGCCACAAAAGTGGTGTTTTTCTCTTACCACATTTCCTGGACGCTCTACGATGGGATTCAACTCATAGTAAATAGTTTTAGTAATTAGGTTAATTGATGTTTACCGAGCCAGCCTACAATACCGCTGCAGCGATTGATCTTCAATATTAATCGCTGGCTCGAATGTACTATGTCTATTGTGTTAATGTGTGGAATTATTTAGCTGCACCAAGCGTACACGTGACGTGCCTATCAGTATCAGCATACTCGTGTGCGGAGTTCTTATCGTAAAGATTTCTAGGCCCGTCAGCTGCGCCAGCTCTGTCGCAGCTGCCGCACCGCATAGGTTGGCAGCCGCGGCCTTTCCGCAGCGACTACATCCTGCCTCGTATGCTGTTACCCAACCCCTTACTTCGATATGAAGAAACCCCTCGCGCTGTCGCCCCCACCGAACAAGATTGGCTGAGTAAGGTACGTACCCAAACGGGCAAGTATTGTTAGAAAAATGCACAAAGGGTCCCTTTTAGTGATCGGTAGGCTAGGGAAAGTTAAGTCAGATCACTGAAATAAACACTTTGTGATGCTCTTGACGAGTAAAACATAAACAGTTTTATCACTGGCGGCCGTTTATCACATGACGTCATTAGTGACCAATGGGGATAGGTGACTGCATCACACGCTACATATAATCAGTGCCCATAGTAGTTAGGTCAGTAACTATTACTCAACGCAGTGACTCCAGTGTTCATTGTTATCATTTTACACGATAATCAAACCGTTTCGCTGAACACGGTTAGGGTTGTGCCTGGCGCACACATAGACTTTATTTTGTTAGGGTTACTGTTTCAAGAGACTTCCTAAGTACGAACATGGTGTCAAATCAGTAGCTTTTATATTTTTAGTTGCAACAATAGAAGTAATAACCAATCATTGTTTGCAACTACTTAATTCCTTTCTACTAAGACTAATTTGTGTAAGTTAATACTTTTACAACAACAGGATAACCCATCCTCGTTAAAATGGTGTGACAAAATTGTGCCAATGTACCATAACATATCAATCATCAAAATACATTAGAACAATATTTAAATGTGTGAATTCGCTGTAGTAATTCAAGTACTAGATAAATAGCACTGGTGTTGAAACTACCGCAAAACCAAAAGCTTCGAAACATTTCACTAAGTGGCACTTTCTGAAGATCTCACTTCATCCTAGACGAAAACTTGACTGTTAAAGTTATTTTGAAGTTCCATTGCAGCGTTTCAGAACGGATTTCAATTGACACCACAGAATATACAGAAATGAAAACGTAGCTCTCATGTCAAGGACTAAAGTTATCTTATTATTACCTCTAGCAACTTGGTTACATGAAATGATAGTTTAATAAAATTGTTGTATTATAGCCACAATTAGCACGCAAAACATTGGTATTTAGTTAACAAAACACCACTACATCACTGTAGAGTTACAATCCAGGCGCTCACCGTCAGATGCAATAAACAGATAACTTAACAAACCTATTCAGGTAATTCATAATTCAATTTATTGTAAGCAAGTTAAGAGACAGAGTTGTAAAACAATAAACACAGAAACTCCAACGTTTCACTAGGGACGTAAATTAGCATAACATATTCGTTGGGCCATGCAATCTGACCTCCCTTGTCTTTCCGGATCACGTCAGTGTAGTCAAGGAATTATTCAGCTAAATTTACCTTCAGTATTGGAATTTAGTGACTGGCAATACAATGTCACTGCATGTGGAGGCTGGGGGTGCATGGGCACACTGTCTTATGATTGACACCTGAGGTCAGCTAGCGCTTATTAATTAATGAAGATTTTAAGCAGAATGAATTGTTAATTGCCTGTTCGACAGAACTGGGGCACAGTTTACAGCAATAGAAATGGAGTAAAAGTGTCAAGGATGCAAAAGTGATCGTGTGTACTAACAATACATAACCTAACTCATAACGTACATCAATCGAGTTAATAAAACTTTTTCCATTTCAAAAGCGAGTCTATTCAGACAAGACTAAAAAAATACAGGCACCTGTAACCATGAACTATGTGAGTATTGGAGAAAGTAACACGAAAAGGCATTAAAAAGTATAACCTCATCGAGGCTCTACGGCAAACATTTCCAATTAATTCACAAAGTTAGTGCAACAGCGTAGTTCACAAGCTTTTAGCCAGCATATAGAGCTAGGTCGTTGGATCAGTGTCCTAATACAGTGCTAATGCAAAGATAATCTCATTTTAAGAGCATCATTGAGCACTATATCGCTGCGTAACATTATCTCGTACATCTCCATACGTCCCACTGACAGTGCGAAGCCCCCCCCCCCCCCGCATGCAGCGGGTTGCCAGAAAGATGAACAGTTAAAAAATCACGTACAAGGGTTACGTGAACGAATCAAATCATTCTTGCATAGAATCTAGTTCGAAACGAAAGATGAGATTTTGTCGCCTTTTGAATATATTTATGTTAGACAGAATACGATTTCAAAAGAAAATAGGTTTTCGAGTTTTCTTTGTGTAATGTTATGCACATAATACGTACTGAATCACATGTACAATAAAGTAAAATAGTAGAACTGAATAAAATTAAATAGGTCTTCTTTCCATAATCAAAAACATTTTCATGGCTAGATATACTTTTCTAGTGATAACACTGAAAAAAAGAAAGCCTTTCTCAAGCAAGATATAATCTGTATCTGGCAGGATATTTGCCTACAGATAAAAAAGCATTTCTCTTTGGATGCGATAATGCAGAATAATAAAAAAATATTATATACGAAAAGGCACTTGCTGGGGCACTTGGTAGAAACGATGACGATCGCATTATGAAAGGCACTTTATCGATAAATATTAAATGCGAGCGCTGTACCGTGAAGCCCCGAGGGCGATCGAGTATCGAAGCTCAATAATTGATTTAAAGACGTGCACTCATCTTTCATGATTCTCTGTGACGACAGCTGAGCCGAGCTTACACGATGATAGCCTACTATGACATGACAAAACGTGGCACTAGACAGTGAACGCATAATAAATTGCAGCTCACCATTGAGAGAGAACGTGTCCAATTTATATCTCATCTTTTATTGTAAAATATATTGCTTCAAACTAAAACTTATTTGATGAAAAATTTCAAAAGAATATTGCAATCGGTATTGTGTCTCTGTATTCGTACGAAATGCTATTGTAGCTCATATTTCATTTATTTTCAGAATAAATATTGGCACTTTTATTTCGAATAATTTTGACTAGAATAAGTATAATCTCATTATGGTTTTGTAGAATTATCAAAATAAACCGGATGGTTTTCTAGATGACGTTGACGTTGAGTAATTAGTGTCGAGTCGTGTGTCGGTGTCGGGGCGTGTAAGATATATGTGCAAGCTGCTCATTGCGTCAGAGCACATCACGTCCCGACATGACACTCCAATATAAATCCTCCGTTAGTCTTCTTCGAGCGCCGCTTTAGCACTTAAAGTTGAACGTTCATTCGAAAAACTTTCATGTTTCTTCTCGTATTTTTCCAAGCGACACAGCGCTGCGCTTCCAAAGTACGGTCCTAACTTGTAACACTTTGTGCCTTCGTGTTTGCTTTCGACAAAAAGGGTCGTTGAGTATTTTGAATCCATTTAATGTACATATAATGCAATCACATAATTTACGCCAAATTGAATTTTGCAATGTTGAATCATATAGCCTACCTAAATTGAAAATAAGTAAAGTATCTGTAGCGAAGTAAGGTTTAAAGATAAGTTTATTTATTACTCAGATCGGCTTCAGAGGTTCTGTTAGTAAGTGAAGCTAGAATATCAGTTGTGAATGCTGGAAATATGATGGCAACTCTTGACCTATATACATAAATATGTACCTTCGTACACGATGTACTGTAAAAAGTTAGGTTATAAGTGCACCCTAGTCCACGTAAAGGAGTAAATATAATAATTAACTGGAGAAAATGGTGTCAAAATACATAAACAGTAACACCGTGACTATACGGACTTCAGTTTTATTAAATTACTGTGCTTCGCTTCCACAATTTAAATCGTAATCACATAACCTATAAAGTGTGAACGTGATACAACCAACAACTTAATGAAATTATTACTTAAACTGTGCCTGAGGTTCTAGAAAGCGTATATTGAAACTGTATTTTATACAATATGCTAAAAATCTCAATCTCAATTCACAAGACAAAAGTCTTGCATTAATTTCACCACATACGGATCTCGTAGTGGCAAAAATGAAAACATATTGTGAAAGGCTTACCGGTTTTAAAACATATTAATAATTAAATATCAGAAGTGTTAATGTGCTCAATTTCAAGATAGCAAAATTATCATTTTTATGTAAGCAAAAACTGCTACATACGTGCTACGAAGACTATTACATTAATATCCGTAGTAAACTGCTACGAGAGAGCTACGAAAATTTAATTTGTTATTTTATGTGTGCTACGCGGAGAAGTTAATACTATGTTATATCTGTATGATATTATTTTCGAGTTTTCTAGAATGTTTGTTAGATTTTGCAAGGTTTTGACATTATATGTCAATTGGAATGGCACTTTGACACATAACCTAAACATGTAAAGGTTACAATACGTCTTTCAATATTTCACTTTTGTTTCTATCCGGTGAATGTCTGTGTGAGCTTGAGATAACAGTGAACTACGGTGTTTGTATATCAAAAGCAAATCATGTGTAAAATTCGTAAAAGCTTTGTGCTACGCGCGCTACGACGATCCATCAAACGCGTAGACGTGGCTACGACATTACTATTATTAAACCAGGTATTTTCGCGAGTTGTAAAAATTGCGTTTTAATCTCCTGAGTGACAGTTGGAAATGGATAAATTAAAAACAAAAGCATAAAACGTTACGTCATTGTGTAAAAATCTTTTAACTAAAATCAAAGTCTGTAATTACGAGTGTTGTTAAGTATGCGACTTCAAGGCAAAGACAATTTTTGTAATGACTGCATTTAAAATAATGCACCCCTGGGACAGGTACCGTATGTTTTAATAAAATGCATAAAATACAATGTGCCGAGGGAAAATTGTTGCGACCGATAATTACGTACACGGTCACTGCAATAGGAGGCTCGGACCTCTTCATTAAATAATCATAATTTATCGCCATCGCCACCTCACCTATTAGCTTCTTGTTGCCCGATAATTTCTTTATTTAGAATATGTAACAAACATGGAACAAAAAACCACAAAGGGGTTATAAAAATGGATATCGAAATAGTTTAATCTTGATGCAGACTCTGACCTCTCAATTATAATGCCTTAGAGAACTTTGGGAACGTAGCACCCCAGCGTTAATTAACGATAGTCTTGGCGCCGTTGATTAACTTCTGTTAAACAGCTAACTAATCTGTGATCGTGTTGACACTTGCAGAATGCACAGATTGCCCCACGGAGACGGAATTGCCTTACTAACGTAATCTAATTCAGTGTTGACAACAAACCGATCGGATGGAATTCAAATATCGTGAGTAAATGGATTGCTGTCCTTCTGGACGCGGCCGGACCTTTTACAACGTCCTGTTCATGTAAATGCGTTTCACAAAGAATGTATTTGATATATTAAGGTTTTATTTTATACCAGCTACTTTCTCGCGGTTACAGCCGCTCTTCTCGGCGCCTATTGTTCGTAGCGTGATGATTTGTAGCCTATAGCTTTTTGTAATTGGACTATAGACCACAGAATAATTTTTAAAATCGAAATAGTTGTTCTTGAGATTAGTGCGTTCAAACAAACAAACAAACTCTTATATTTAAGAGAATGAGAGTACAAATATACTCTTTCTCTCTCTCTTACTATTATGGTCTTAACAAGAAGAGCAAGACGGTTTTACACACAAAGGTTCTTGCAGCACAACATAATAGGCAATAAGTTAGAGTTAACTGAAGTAGAGTTTAAAAACGTGTACAGCTTTCAGTTGGATAGGAGGACCAACTTTGTTCCACAAATGTCTTACGTGCATCAATTTATATATTGCTCAATTACTCAATTTGTAGCCACTTTCTACTGACTACTTCACCTATAACTATGGTCGAACTTGCCACACAATCGACAGGATGACTGAGATCACCGGTAGGCAAACCGGAGCGTTTGATTTATATTTCAACATTTGGATGAATAATTAACTAACCCGTTATTTAATTCAAAGTTGGAATGTATGTAAACCTGATGTGATCATAAAAGTACTAGGGTTTTTAAGTGTCAGATCGCAGACGACATTGCGTTGCTCATAAACTCACGGACAACGATATCGGATTCCAATTTTCCTTCTAAGACATTGAAACCTGAAAAATCGAACGTTCTGATCGCAAATTACAATACAATATCGATTTCCAATGATACGCTGCAATTGTACTTCAAGTAATGACAGAAAAGTAGGACGCTTTGATTTTATCAAGTACCCTTAACCACAGGGCAGCCTTACATATCAATCACCAACATGAAGCCTTCAGAAATAGCCGTAATATGTCACTTAAACGTACTCATTACTGAAGGGAACCTCGAGGCCTGTTCCATCAGCTATTGGCTATCGAGGAAGGCTGAATTAATTTAGTATTTATGAGTTTCGTGCATAGTGAGTCAAGGAGACTTCAAGGAAAATTGTCTTAATACCGATACTAATAATGATTCATTATGGTTTCAAGAATCTTAGATTGCAGATTAATTTACACATCGATATTCGTACAATCCTGTGTAGTATGTATGTATCCGTATAGTATGTATTCCTACAACAATAATAGGTGTATGTAGAATAAATTATCACAATACATAGTTGATGCTTCTCCAAGAATGATATTGTGATCAGATAGGTTTCTAAGAATACGTTTCATATTTCGCATAATATCTTTAGGAGTTTCGCCTGTATAATTTCATCATTAGGAAAGGAATTTTACGTTTAATTTCTTTCAACACAGGAAATTGATCGCATCAACCAAATGGACGATGATGAAGAGTTAACTCCATTTGTAGAGGAATTTTCTCGATGGATGGCTCGGGATCCTTACGTTCCCTTAAAATATGGACAAGAAGCTATTCGAGAACCTGCTGAACTTGCCTACGTGCCGGAGGCCATGACACCAACTCCAGAAGAGGTACACCCCGTGCCACCACCAAGGGAAATCGTGTCACCTGAACCTATCTCAGCACCTCAAGTGGAAGCCCGGAACCAAGTGTCGTCGACGGTGGCACCTGCAAAAATCGAAAATGAAGAAAATAAAAAGACGTTCGCACTGACACCTCTCGATAAAGAATACTACGAACCCGAAGACAAAATAGAAACACAAAGTAAGTTAAAATTATCATCAAATATTGAACTACTACACTGTCAGAACATTAAATATGTCATGGCTTTATTAAGAACATTACGCGGAAATAATATAATATGGTCACAGATATAGCGGCTCGGAGTAACACTGTACTGGCCTTGATAGACATAAACTACGAATTATATTATCAGCTGCTCCGGCAGACGCTCCAGCTTTTCCGCCTGATATAATCTGTTATACATTCACATTACGACGCCGACGGGAAATGGAGGAGATGGGCTGCTGTATCCGAGCCGTGAATGTCATAAAATATCTTCTGGTCTTAAATATCTAAGAAACTTATTTATGATTTTTCAATTTTTATCAGAGAATTTTTGTAACGGACGATTTTAAAATGAACCATGGATTTATCGGATTTTCGCCCGATCTGTAGTTGGTAGACCCGACTCATGATATTTTAGTTGAAATAACAGAGAGCTCGATTTCTTTTTGTACGAGCGAGCGCTTTGATAGTGGTAACGCATAATCAGACACTGGATAACTCTGAAAGGGGATTTCAATAAAATCCAAACTTAGTCGCATCGAGATTTTTATATTCATTTGATTGGTTGGTTGGCTGAAAGAGTCCAGTCCGTTTTAGTTGTTTGAGAAAAATATTAACACTCCTTCTCACGAAGATAGATGAGATAGAGTTCATGGGAAATCAAAATTCCATGAAGCATAAAATTAATGTGATGTTATTTTGTTATAGAATCGGATGGACCTCATGAAGGTGGTGAGTCGCCAGCTCCGCAAGCGATGAGCTTGGTGGCTTTCCAGCCTCCACGTCAGATACGGCAAAATCCGAACCTGGGTAGAACGAAAAACCTGGTCGCTGAGAACTTGGACCGTCTTCGAGTTGGCGTGTAAGTAACACCATAATTTTTACTAACACTTTATAATTTCAATTATAATACACCTGACTAATAAATCTTTCATAGGTTTTAGTATTAAAGTTATCTTACAATTAAAAGGTAATGATAATTATTGATTGGAAGTTGAATTAGCGACTCAGTGACTGAAGATGAATAACATAATAATACATCAGTCATTTCGCTCGTTATGTACCGCCGGAGTAGGTAGGTACGTCAGTTATTACGGCGGTTTTAGCTCTAATTATGCGCGAAGGCTAGAGCAATATTAAGTTCGTTTATTACAGAGAGAGAAGCAGGAAAATCATTTTGTATATTACGAGTTCCACAATCCGGCTTATATTTTGAAACAACAGTAAATATCATTCTTTTTTCTTCGTTTTAGACATGAAATGCGGAATACCGGGAAGTTTTAATTATTATCACAGACTCTGAATCTTTTATTCTTTGTTTCGAAGAATTTATAATTTAACTAAACATGTTTTATTATTATTAAGTTGTATTTCCACAAACTGAAACGTTGAAGAACACCATTGTTTTGAAAGAGCTTTTGAAAAACAAAAAAGCGTTATGAGCTATTACACTGTACTCTGAAGGTACTTTTTTAAAAATGATTTAAAATTAATTTAAAGTGCCACATTGACATTTTATTGGTAATTTATTTATTACGAGACCTGTTAAAGATGGAAACTAAAGTAAACCAATAAATAAATTTTAACGGCCGACAAACACGTAGTCTCTTAAGGATGTTTTCCACTTTCAAAGCAACTAAGTGCTTGCCTAGACAGCATAACACGTAATAGCACTTAAACGTGGACAACAGGAGGTAAAACACTTTAGCGACTGTCGAGCAGTTAGAACTGGGTAGTTACTGGACTATTGACCTTCGGCTTTGCAAACCACTCGTATGTAACATAAGATGCCAACGTGTCAGTTCGACACGTAAAACAAGGGTTGGGATTCTTTTTATAATATAATTCATGTGAAATAAAAACATGATAAATAATATAATTTTCAATCTTCAATTCTTATTTACCGATAACAGAACCTTTCAATAATAGCTAAGCATTAGTTAGAAAGTTTCAAAAATCACAATTGTTAATATAATATTTAGTAAATCCCGAGACAGCCGAGGTTATTGCCCGTCTCCTACAAGTGCATAGAACTCGTCGTCCTCTTGGGTCACCAGTCTGTCCCCCAACCTTCGAGGTACCTAACCACATTAGTTAAGAAAAATATTAACTAGAAAGTATTGAAAACGTGGCACAGAGTAATCATCGCCGCTACTTCAAAGAAACTTGAAAACTACTGTTACTAGTGAATGCCATTCGCGTATTCCCGAGTGACGTTTACAAATGAAACACCTTTTTAATCGAACACGTTTTCCAAAGAAGTAGTAATAGTGCGCGGAAAATATTAAAAATGGAGGAATCATTATACAAATGTTTACTCCACTGAGAGTTCTTTGAGGCAATCCGTATCGTTTAGGTTTTATTTTATTAGATTTGCTCGATGGGCTATTTTTGTAGTTCAGACTTTTAGTCAAACGCTTATATCTCTATATTATGTACGCTGATATTGTAATGTTATATAATTATTGTATTATATGAATATGTACTATATTTTACAAAGAATATTTATTTGTATCTGTGTATATTTGTACCCCGTTGCGTCATTGCTACCTACACTAATACTCGATGTCGAAGAGGGACAGATTTTAATATGTTTAGTGATAAACAACATGTCGTTTACAAAATAGACAATGTAGCGTTTTTTTAGGGCAAATAAGGACTACCGTATCCCTGTCTCCTTACTGCCAACCAACCTGCGCTGGTTGAGAATAAATCCTACTGATGTGCCTGAGACAAGGTGAAACCATACGTTTTAACACTTAGAGATTCCTTAGCCTACACTCCTAACAGTCCTTAGTTGCGCATGGAACAACGTTCGTCCTAATTGACACTTTTGTTTGAAGCATTCACTTGTGAACTGTCTTATGAAGCAACGAATGCAAGCAATGTGTACACTAATAAGAAAGTATCAAAATCAAAACGCACTTCAAAAACAATCACACTAATTAGAATCGCTCATTGTCCTCGAACGAATATGTATAACGAACCATCATCGACGAAAAATGCGAATCAAAATTTTATGAATGTAATTATACACACGTAACAAGATTGACAAGCGAGCAGTAGTGTGCGAGTCCTGGTATTATGCAAACATCTCGAGAGCGAACAAGAGAAGCTTGTACGAGGTGATTGCTCAGGCGAGCTTGTCAAACTTGTAGTTGGAGCGTAACCACGTCTCAAGTGTGCTTAGGTGGACGCTAAGGTACAGTCCTATTAATTCCTGCTAGTATGTTACAATCACGTATCGCACACAAGTCCGGCTCGTGTACCTGTTATACCTATATGCTAACACGTCATCTCCGCCGCTGATGACTGTCACAAACAGAGTTGATTGATTGATGGGAAATCGAATTCCATTGTCTAGTTAACTACGTTGCTACCAGAATTGGTACTATTACAGCTTATTGAATTACCATCGCAGGCACTTCGAATTATTATACTCAACATTATACTACGCTGCGTGTATTACTAGGACTGTAACTTATGTTTCAAATATTTATTATTCACTAATTAATATCTCTTATATTTCGTTCTATATATAAATTTAATTTACTATATTTATGTTTTCGTTTAAGTATATAACCCAATTGGCTAATTCGGTGCGTCGATAACGGGTCATCATTTTCACCTGTCTTCATTAATTCATTTTGAAAAGATTTTTTACTGGCACTCAAAAATCAAATGAAAATTAGTACAAACAAAATACCGTCTCCAATACTGTAGATTATATTCTACAAATAGAGATAAAAATTAATATTGATAAGTATGCGTAAGAAACTTGTTCCACGGAGTGGGATATAAGAGTACTAGACTGAAGCACTCTCATATTGGCGCCGATTATAAAGACGAGCCGAGCCAGTGCTTAGTACCCGCTTAACAACTTCGTGTAAACACCAGCTTCAAAACTTATTGGAAATATCCTGACAAACATCACATTTATTGGATAAACAAATTGATGATTTTGTAAATTACAATATTGTTTTTGCTGACATCGACATAAAGACGGTATTAAGAGATAAACAATTAATGCAAGAATACGAGTTACACGCCTTCCATACATTTTATGTACACCAATGCTCATCCGTTGTGGAAACGTCCTGTCTCACTATAAATGGCCCTGTTCTGTCATGTTACAAGCATGATGTTGCAACCCATATTATTTCGCTATGTCTGACCAGACCTACCAGCATGTGATCCTATTATTATGTACGCTTCTCACTCAAGCATATTATAAAAAACGTGTTTATTTACAAAATGGTTGGTACTTTAGTTGGTATGTTTAATGAAACATTTAGTTTTTGTGTTAGAGTAGACTTTGTAGCAATGCATTCTGCACCTGTCACTACTACGTTATAGGTGCTAGTTGTAGAATATATTGGTGACTAGGATGGCAATATTTTAAATCCAATGCGAATGTTTAGCACTCAAGAGAATCCTGATGGCACCGATAAACCTCGTCACATCCATGTGCTGGAGTCTGCATCCGACCCAGCTGACTCGATCTACGGAATCGCTCTAATTGCTGCAGTAGGCACCGCTCTTACTATGGCTATTATCGGATTTGCGTTCGGCTGGTACACGTAAGTAACTTCAACTACGATCACGTCACACTTTGTAGATTACACGTTTGAGTAGTATGTGACATTTACACAACATGACCCTCCCACAGACTAAGTAAGAAAGCTAAGGCTGCCGCTGACGTGGACTACCCTGCATACGGAGTGACTGGACCTAACATTGACACCTCTGGCGACAGGAAACTTGCTCATTCGGCCCACATGTACCACTACCAGCATCAGAAACAGCAAATAATAGCTATGGAAAGGTAGTTACTTCACAGATGCAATACATTGTTTTCTTTCATGAAACGTTTGAGCAATTGATTAACACATGCTCACCCGCTTGTATACTCACTTTTCATTTCATTAACGGACTGAAATATGGACTTTGCACAAATAACTCCAAGTTCAGTATGAATAGTTTGCTCCAAAAATAAAAGCCTATTATAAAGTTTCATTCGAACGAACAATTACAACAAAGAGGAATCGTTTCAACTTTTACCGAACATTTCCGTCGTAATTTGCTTTAAATTGTTGATGAATAGTTCAATATTTCGTAAAGCCTTGGCTTCAGTCCGTACGGAATTGTGACGTGGTCATGCATTAGTAATTGATTTTATAATAGCTTAATTCGAACCATTGACTCAATTTTCAGCACCAAGCTTTAGAAATAATTTCTTTATATCATAAAGGGAACTTTACATGAAATTCGAGCTCCTCATACGTTCATATGTTCGTATATTATTCATTTCAGAAATGGCTGTGAGCACCGCAATGGTTCCGTGTCTGACCCCGAATCTGAGGAAGAGAATGAAGAAGGAGATTACACTGTCTATGAATGCCCTGGGTTTGCCACGGTAAGTCTGCCAGATTTTGCTTAAGCCGTTTAATCTTGTTTAGTGAACTTTTACGATATGAACTCTACTTAACAGCCTTCAAACGTGATGTAGGTATTTATTTCATTCAGTCGTATGGTTATAAATGTATTTACCTTAGGTATCAAATTCTTATTATATATTTACGTGTTGAACTGTCACTACATGTCTACTAGCGTATTTACAGTCCGGGAGTAGGGTGGAGGAGACAATCTATCAAAAGGGAAAAACTTGACCTTTGCGTGAAGCTACGAAGTCAACTTTACTGAAATTGATACGGTATAGAATATATTTTAGGATGGGACTTATTCTGGTCATATTTCAAGATGTTTCAAGCTGTTTGGACATTAAACTTTAATATTAGTAGAACATATTTTCACATAAAAATTAGTTTATAGTCGAAGAATATTTCAAAGTTACATTCAACCCCAATGCTATATGTCAGATTTACAATTTTATGAACCAAAATCATATTGCAGGATCTATTCTAATCAATGATTTTTTGTCAAAGCTCTTATTCGGAGATATTGAATCGCATATCGCGGATGCTGACTACGGGACTTACGAGCTCGGAACATTCGTATAGGTTGAGTAGAAGTGACGTCATAAAGTAAAGTTCAATATTACAGTTGATGCACTTTCTCTTTCTAGGATGCTTTGTTTTTAATGCACGAGTATTTTGTGTGAAATGAAATAATTTTCGTCGACTATTGAACTATGTACTGAAATGGGGTACGTATCCACAGACGGGTGAAATGGAAGTGAAGAATCCTCTGTTCTCCGAGGACCCGACCCCGGCTACACCCGGCAAGTGCGAGATTGTGAAACCTCAGCCCAAAGATTAAGTGACGCGCGCGCATTTGTTGCGCACCCTCATAAAAGCCTGGCGATCGATCTTCATAGTTTGCAATCTCTTCAGTGTCTGTTTAATGTACACCCTTCAACGCCAAGGTTACTTATCCGACAGGATTATTACTCACCATAGTTACATAGATCAATGTATTCGTACCAATGATGTTTAGTGTTGTAGGAATAGTGTGTTAATAAAGTGATGGAATATCAGGCAGTCCTATACGATGACAGCTTTCCACGTTATTAACTCACGACTCAGATTTATTAGATTATTTCGTCGATTTTATCTAGACAGTTTGTGTAGGTACCTTCAGTACAATGTTCAAGTACAGTAATTAAATTAAAAAAGTTACAAAAAAAATAGATCGCACCATAAATGTTTATTCTCGTTATAATGATAAAGCAGATATATTAAATGATTATAGAATATTTTAAGCGCAACACCTATTGACTTGCTATTGACTTGTAATATATACTACAAACCCTACGAATTTATTTATTGTTTCATCTATATTATATACAGTATTGTAGTATATTATGTACTGTACCTGCATTCTGGATACATGGTAACACATGGTAACAGTAAATCAAGTACCTTCCTAAAAACATTAGTTTGTTTCAAGCAACCCATATCAACTATACATAATCCTACTTATCTGTGAGACCAAACAAAGTCCAAATTATGGCAACTGAACCAACACTCGTGTTCCTTGGTAGTAGGAATTTTAATCATTTTAAAACGAATGTGGCCTAAACTACGATTTTACAATTATACGTTTTCTAAATAGATTGAAACGAAACTAGTTTTTTTAGGAAGGGACATTTCAACGTCTACTTATACACTGTCAATATGTATTTGATGCCTACATAGTACCCCGATAATATCAAGTTAAAATAATTTGTATGCGTTTTTAAACTTATCAAATGCAACGAGGACGACCTACAATGTCTCTAGGCACAAAGTAATGATCGATGCCATGCCTAATTAAGATGATACAGGAATAAATGTATATTTACATCATAGTGATTATTATAAAACCGTTTGCATTGTAAATAAGGTCAATTTGCTTTATTTAAATATCTAATATATTTTACAATTTTATCTTGTTGAACCATATAGTATTAATATTTATATTCATTATATAATTGAAAATGCCAAGATTTTAACCCAACTATTGACCAGAAGCATTCCTTTGCATATACCTGAACAAGTTACACCTACATATCTTCTACAAGTTTACCTATGTACCTACTATTGCCTAGAAGTTTATTATAATATGGAATAAGTAATATTTATTAGCTATTACTAAAGAAATCATGTATTATATACAACCGATACAACACAGAAACCTCACCGTAGGAGTTAATGTACTTACTGTTCATCGTAAGCATGACAGTTCTACATTATAAGTATTATAAATTACCTAATTATAAATCTAGATATCACTGTGTAACCTAAAGTAGAAAAATCTTACAGATTAATATTTTGGTATTGTTGTTATATATATGTAAATGGAAAGGCCTGGCAAGGAGTGTGTGCTGTAGAACTGCGTAGCGATGCTGTGACGACATTGAGAATGCTCTATTGCTGAGACCATCTATTAGAACAAATAATATTGTACCAAAACTATACTGCCAATATCACAAATATCTTTATAAGAGCATGTAAGAACAATTAGATAGGAAATTGAATTGCCCCAAACGATTGAATTTAATTTGAAGCTCTACTATCTCTGCAGAGCATATTTCCAATCTCATTTGGTCTATAAAATAAATGTTATTTGTTAATCATGTTAGATGATCAGAGACATATATTTATTATTCTCTTTCTGAGGACTTGTATTTGTTAGACTAGTAAAGACATATATATCAATTATTCCTAACATATAAATGGATGTTAAATTAATTGTCGTTATCATATTAATCATTTAATCTTGTAGCCAGTCGTATTTTGCGTATTTATTATAAAATTATATCGAGCAGGTATGACCTGGGTGTATCGAGTTATTTTTCGAATGTTTTATGTAACCTATGTATGTTATCTGTCAATTGTGATTGACTGAATATCTCGCCGTGCCATGCATCTTATTGCCAGGAAGCGTAAAAGCTGAACTAAAGGATTGCGTTTCAAAAGAAGAAAAATGTGCTATTTGGTTGGAATATCGAATATGTGAATTATATATATTTTCTTCGCTTTTATTGTATTCACGATGAATAATCATAATTAATATTTCACTTGCCGATTAATATTTACTGAGTATCGAATTAAGTAGGCATAGTGATGTACTGAGCGTTGTTGTTTCCCTGAATGTATCAATAGTTATTAAGATAACTACTTACTTAAACTTGGCAAAAGTATCAACACTTAAAATACTGTAGTAGCAACGTTTGACTCACTGTTATTCAAATATTTACAATAGAATATAATATATTATAGTATTTCAAAATTTATCTGTGTATCTATTAATGTGTATTAACCAGTCCCGAAAACATATGTATTTAGTTATAAATTGATTAATGTGATATATTTCATCATTATATATATGTATACAATGCAAGTATTGTTATTAATTCACCCTAACACTTACCCACTACATGAAAAAATCGGTAACTACATCTACAAAGACTAATTAACTATAATTTACATTAGAAATTACCCTAAAATATTGTCATAGCTAAATGTAAATATCCTTTCTGATTGCAGTAGCTTACCACATTAATTTTTTTTAGAAAAACGTAAAATTATAAGTAAAGACTTTAATGAAAATACACTAAACCAGTGAAAGCGCTGAAAATACCTCCCAGCTACATTAACCCTCTACATATGACAAAATAAATAAGACATAGCACATATTCTCAAACATTTTTAAAAGTTACAAAAGTGGCGCAAGCGCATAGGTGCAAACGCATCGGCGCAAGCGGATTGGTGTAAATGCATTGGCACAAACGCTGGCAACGACCTCGTGCTCAACGTCAAACAACCTTACCTATTACAAAAAACGTCAAACAAGCGAAACGTTAATGTCAAAATGTGTAAAAAAAATGCATAATTATATAGTTAGAAATCAGTTAACAAAGATGAAAAAAACTTATAGCACTCTTAAATGTAGGCATTCATACATAACAATGCAAGTTACCACTTGCATTTTATTATCGAAATAATATCGAAGCTGTTTTTATAAAGGTACAAAAGCTGTGTAAGTACATCAGCGCAGGCGAAGACCTCGAGCTCGACACAATAAACTAAATCGATCATCGACATCACCATCATTCTGTCCTAGTTCACTGCTGGACTTCGATCCTTCATTACATAAGGTTCACTATATAATATTTTCGCTTGGCAAGTGGGTTAAACCAATGCAGTTTAAAAAATCATATTAATCAGAGAGAACTTTCACTTGATATTTATTAAAAACATTGTGTAAAACTTTTGCGAACTTTTAGCCGTAGGAAGAGTTAGGCCAGCGCCCAGCGGGCCTCAATGCGGTTCGCCCAAAATAAGCCTCGGTGTCCCAAGGTGTGCGAACAGCTGCTGAGGCAACTCTCAGGCGCCTAAAGCCACCTAAATTGAACTAATAATAATAGTTCCCATTGATATTGGGTATCAAGCCTAGCCTGTAAGGTAGGTACAGAAATGTTTTCTACAGTACCGTCACCACACGGCACAACCAAAAAAAATAATTAATACATTCTCTAGACAACAAAATTTGTTATAAGCCACTAGAAAATGCCAAACTTCTCATTATAAGTACGTTTAAGAAAATTGGCTTCCCGTGGCATAACACAAAGTATTGGCCTTTCAATCCCGTACATTTAGGGGGTAAATATTTTTATTTTATAATTTTAAATCAGGTATCTAACCGAGACCCTTTGCTCAACCGCCACACTTGCAACCACCCAACCATGATACTACCAGTGGAGAAGAAAGAAAATGTTAAGTATGTTATATCTTCAGTGTTCCTTATTGATGTATCCTATTAGAATCAAGTTGTAAGGTAGTTTAACAGCTGTTGAAAGACTACTCAATATAAACCACAATTGCTGTATTATACGCTTGATTTGTAGTGCACAATGTGTTGCCGGGCCAGCCAATACCCGCACGAAACAACTATTTATGTGATTCAATCATTTATTAAATGTACATGGTGTATGTTTGAAAATAGCCCTGGAGAAGATAGCTAACAATGTCTAATTAATAATACTTATAAATAAACTTAAATAACTATTATTAGGATATGTATCCTTAAGATACAGGTTCATCTATCTAGATGAAGGTGTACGCACCATTCTACATACATACATAACTTCACACCTGTCTCCCATGGGGTACGCAGAGACTATGTAACGCCAATTGCTACGATTCCTACATAGCTCTTCCGCTTCATCAACAGTCATCAATCTTGTCATACATTCTCGTCGGTTAAGCGTACTTTTAATTTGGCCCTTCTTTAAAATATAATCATCTGTACGTACTATTCTAAATAAAAATATTTGGCCACGCGTAACTATAGCAGAATATTTGTCGCGGAGAACCTTAACGGGTAACCGGGGCTCCGGCTCGATGTGCAGGAGAAGGAACGGGGTGGTTTTTAGTCAGTAAGAGTCTGACACTCCCTCCCGCCTGACCTAGGCGGGAGCAGTAATTCGATGATTTTCCTCCCTTAAAAAAAAAGCAGAATATTTATAAAACAACATGTAGATACATACATGTACATCCGATAGTACAAATTCCATGAAAAAAGTGACATTTAAAACTATTAGAACACCACACAAATTGCCTGGCCAGGTAATTTTTGATAGCTAAAAATGCTATTGATATTGTTTTTATAGTGAGTAAAATTGCTACGACTTAATTATTGGTCTCTATTTAAATCGTCTTGGTTTCAAAACTGAAAAATTCACCAGTATTTAATTCGAGTCGAGAACCTGACCTCTTATCTTACCAATGATAAATGCGAGAGCATTCTTGTTAACCTCTAAAAACTATTTACAACCAGAACTTTGAACCGTATCATCATGAAAATAAAGTCCAGAATGAACTAGTGGTTAAAGAGTAACACAAAATATCTATTAAACGTTTCACTACCATTACGTCACGATGAATTGTGACGATATTTTACGAAACAAAACGTTGTTCAAAAAATCAAAGAAGTCTGAACTCAACGTGCTCACGATACAACTTCAAGCTCACATTGTTCGCGAGACTGAAAACTTTCGTACGTAGAAAACAATATTTGAAATTGGTTTTGTGTCGCACCTTATAATAACAATGTGTTATGTGTATAGTACTAGTATCACCAATAACACTATAATAGTTCTCGTTTCACTTCACTTTGGAACCTTTGACAATTGTTATTCCGGAAGCTCTTAGCATCAATTTAAACAAAAACGGGAACAATAGGTCTGTCATAAAAAACAAGTGCATCGAAAATACCAGACAAAAGGAATGTTCTGTAAAAGTCAAAGCAATAATTTTTCGACATTTCACAAAGGTAGCTTCGAGGAATTGAAGAAAATGTAAAAGGAATGCCTATTAAACCAAAAGCACCGTTTATGCATGTCCACAGTTCAGTTGGGTGCATAATTGATGAGCCAACCCTGCATTTACGAGTATCTTCGTCGCGCACTGCTGCGACTATAGCTTTAATATTAAATAAACTATTGTTGACGTTTGTAAACACGAACGCGTTTAAAATAGCGGTTGCAGGGTTGCGGTTAATCGTTCAGGTTTGTCGTTTGTATAATTGAATAGACGTTTCCAATTGTTTCTGTAACTGAGTACACAATATGTAGTTCTAACAATAGTTTTTAATTTGTGTTTTGTTGTTTGTTATATGGTTGATCGCTTTGAAATAAAAATTGTGCTACGCGAATTTTATAAAAAACTTCTAAATAATCTACTGTTGTCGACGACTATTATTCCCTATGGAACAACTATAAACAAGTGTTGATTTGTTTGATTGAGATTGCAAAAAATAATCTTTGTAATGACTAGACTTGACAGTTTTTAATGACGCAATCAAGCCGCCATCTTGTTGTTTACTTCGATCTACCTCTAACGATTTAAATTTCATTCCGTTATACTCTGTGGTAGGATCCAGACGTATTACTTCCAAGTTATAAAAGGATAATATAAAATTATCGTACTTGAATGTCTGCGTGTTTTATTATCAGCCCCTGCCTAAAATTCAACAACAAGCGAATATAAACAACTGTAATATATTGAAGATACATTTGTTTTTACACCTACAACAAACTATACAAAACTAACTCTACACTAGTACAGGTTTGTGTTAGAAACTTTTCACTAAACAAACCAAGCTACATTTGAACTTTATGTAAACTCTAATATCATTCCAGTAATACAACTCGCAAAAGTTCATTTCAGAACGGTTTCAAATGTAATTTAATGCATACCTTTATTTTTAATAGAAAATTGAAGAACTAGCAATGCTACGTAATTTTCGTAGCGGTCGGCTACGAATTGCTACGGAAATTACGGCGTGCTACGAAGAGGCTACGATGGGGCTACGGCTGTCGATACTCAAGAAAATAATAGTGCTCCTGAGATGTAAGTTTGTTAGAAAGGTATTATGTAATATAGTGTATTGTACAACATACTTCAAGTGTACTTATGAAGGAGAAAAGTTAAAAACCTGTTGATATTATACCTGAACTGAAACTGTATTGATCCTTATTTTTAAGATACATTAAACCTTTCCATTAACGAAAATATTGTATACCCGAGCCTTCAAACAAATTACCAGGAAAATTATATTAATTGAGTTCTCCAGCCTTCAATTTATGCAAATTGATGGAGTGTGATTAAAAGTACAAACTTTATATAATAATATAATAGTATAGTGCTCACAGTATTTTGTAGATAAAATGAAAAGCAGGTGAAATCTTTATATTATATTCACACCTATTAATCTTCAAATTGTGAGGCTGGGGAGATACTTTTGTCATTTTTACATAATTATGTATTTAATTAATCTTATAATTAAAATCTGATAAATTATTTCAAACAATGGATGTCATAATTTTATACGACAAGCTAATAAGAATTATACTATAGATTTTTTGTCTCGTGGCATGGGTACATTTTACGATCATACTATTGTACTCACACATGACGCCCAAATTCTAAAACACAATTTGTGGATCCTACAAAAGGTTAATTCATACGGGAATCGAACCCGCTACACATTGCGTAGCAACCGAATGCCCAGTCACCGCGCTAACCGTGTAGTTATTAGAACCCCATACATGTTCTACACTGACCTCGTCACCCGTCATCTGAGCATCGAAACCTGTAAAGATTTATTTTTTTCAGAAACGCTGAAATAAATTCGTGGGAAGCCGATAAAATGTAGAGATGTATTAAATAACAAGGTAAATATCAGGATTTGAAAACTGAAAATCGTTTGTGCCTACATAATATTTACCTTGAAGTATCTGTACGATGATAAATATCAGAATTTTAGAAAAAAATCTATCTAGCGCAGCGCACGTTTAGTTTCATTGATCACATATTTGTTTTATTCTCGTGTTTTGTATCTATTTGCTGAAACCAGTCAGTTAGAAATAACACTAAATTCTACTGTATGCAATAAAGTACCAATGCTCATTTCTATCATCAGAAAGTTATAGAATATTTACGAGTACTAAATTCTTGAACGTTTTATTTAAAAAAGTTG